TCTTTTTTTTTTGTATTTCGTTTGCTTTTTATTTTTTCTCTTCTCTGCGGGCCAGGCGGCTGCAGCAAGAGGATCGCTGGGGGCTACGGAGCAGCGGCTGTCTGTCGCAGTGCATGCGGCGCCGTATAAGAGGGAGAAGAAGGAGATTAATATTTTTTTTCATTTCATTAAAATAAAATAAAATAAAATAAATAAATAAATAATAATTTCTTCTTTATAATCATAAACTGCAGCAGCAAAGCCTTCAGGGCGGGGCTTGGATCCAGAGCGCGACCGCCGTGCATGCACGCCAACAGCAGCGCTGCGTCGGCTGCCGTCAGTGTTTGTATTGTTTGTTGTAAAAAAAACTGAATAAATATATTTAATTTAATTAATTTGTGTATTTATTTTCTTTATTTTCTTTTTTATGTTAAATATTTCAGCTCATGCCCCCAGAAGATGTCGCTGCGCCACATGCGGCGAACGGCGGCGCTGCGGCAGAGCGATGGAAACCTCTCTTTAATTGCGGTTTCTGATTCTTCTGGTGAGGATTCATCGACGACAGCAGCTCAATACAACTCAAAAACACAAAAGAAATCTGTGTTTCTCGCCGCAGCAGCAGCACTCAGCAGCGACGAAGAAGAAGCAGACGAAGAAAGCCCCCCCTCTTCACCAGAAAGAGCTTCAGGTGTACAGACAGCTCCTCAGAACTCTGGCGATGGATCGAGCAGCCAGAGCAGCGGGAGATCGCGCAGCAAAAACCGACGGAAACGGCGTTCTCCTGCTGCAGCAGCAGCAGCACCAGCAGCAGCAGCAGCAGCTGCTGCTGCTGCATCTGCTGCAGGAGAAGCAGCAGCAACGCCAGATGCAGCAGCAGCTGAGAGAGCAGCAGCTGCTTCTTCGTCTCCTTCTCTTCGTTTGGATCCATCAGAAGAAAGGGAACGACCGTCAGAAGCAAGTGAAGCATCTCCCTCTCCTCCCGCCTCTCCCGCTGCTGCTGCTGCTGCTGCTGCTGCTGCTGC